ATCAGCACATTACAGGTGAAGTGTTTTCTGGGTGGAAGTTGTGTGGCTTAAGTTACTTGGTGGTTGTTGTTGGGGGGGTACTGAAATACTAATGCGAAAAATGACGAGGGGCTGTGACTTCCCGTTGATCTTGTTCGTGTCGCCGGGCAGGTTTCAAGGTCACTGACAGGGTAAGCGAGTCTGTAGAGGCTTGCAGGTCTGACTGCACTCAGGTGTGACTGCAGCTTTGTGGGAGAGGCGGTTGGACTGTATTTGACTCAAGTTGCCGGAGTCTTCCACATTTTTCTTACTGCGCGTGTTTGATTTTGGGTTTCCATGTAACTGTGCAGGCAGCCGCCTGATGGTTATCTTTGTTAATGGTCTGCAGCGGTGCAGTGCTTCCAGAGGGCGGACAGCCCAGTCTGACCCGGGTCAGAATATTACCTGAGTCTTAATGTGAGCTACAGAACTGCAGCTCGCTGTGTCAGTAAACAAGCCTGGCTTTCTCTGCTGACTCTGAGTTCAGGATTCATGCTCTTAGTACGCCTCCAGCCTGCTGCTCCCCACTCTGCCTCTTCAGCATTAGGCTAACATATTGTTGGTGGGATCAAGTACAGGAGCATGTTGGGCCTGAGCTGTGACACAGGGCGGCGTCTGATTTTCATGGTCTTCCTCAGCCAGTCATTAAAAATATGAGACACCTTCTAATATTTGTAGTACATAATTAAAAGTATTAAACGCACACATAGGTGAGAGCACAGCCTGGATCACGTGACCCTGAATCCTCCCTTACTTATGCTGCAATATGTGTAGGCTGCTGGCGGCTTCCCATGATGCACTGTTTCTTTTTCACTCTGAGCTTACACACCACTCTGCATGTAATCATCAGTTATTATTCATCTCTGTCTCTCTTCCACAGCGTGTCTTCCTTCTCTCACCCCAACCAGTCACTTCAGATGGCCCCGCCCCTCCCTGAGCCTGGTTCTGCTGGAGGTTTCTTCCTGTTAAAAGGGAGTTTTTCATTCCCACTGTCACCAGAGTCTTTGCTCATAGGGGGTTATTTGATTGTTGGGTTATTCTTTGTATTATTGTTGGGCAGGGGTGTCCAACTCCAGTCTTCGAGAGCTAGACCAGTATTGGTTCCCTCAGCAAACTGGAGCTAGAGTGGCTCCTGTGACTCTGTGGTGAAGCGAACACTCATCCATCTGACGTCATCTTTTTTTATTTCTGGCTCTGTGGTGAAACACTGGAGCGGTTGTGAAATATTTTAGGACTTGTTTCCATTCAGCTCCATCTTTGTCATCCCAGATGTGCAGACTGACTCTGGGCTGATTGGAGCCTTTGTTTTAAGCCTCAGAGCTGCAGGAGGCCGTCGGGGCGGACGTTGGTAAAGCTCCTCAGATTGAGCTTTATTTGTGTTCGTGTCCGCTGACAGGAACTCAGCAGCGGCCCCCTCCCCCCGCCTGCCTGTGTCTGCACCTCTGTAATCTCCCTCACTCTGTTTGTCTGAAATATCACCAACTATTCATCTGTCAGCTGTAATTTAGTTTGAAATGATAAGTCGCCTCTGCCCACTGAGGAGTTTCAGTTGAGCCTCTGAAAGACGAACACACCAGCTGCAGCTTTAATGTGAGACACAGGAGCAAAGTTTGGGGAAGAACAAATCATCCCACTGCAAACCATCAGAGATCGGTGACCGTGTAACAGAGGGACTTCTACAGGAGCTGTTACTTGTCCTGGCTCTGATTCTCCTATCATCGTGCACGTTGGTTACCAACCAGCAGCTCCTAAAGAAATCAGGGTCACAGTATGCTGTAACCAGCTGACCAATCAGAACAGCTGGAGCTTTTCATGTGTCGCCTTAAAGAGACAGGAGCTAAGATAAGAGATGCCCCCTGAGCGTGACCATTCAGGTTTATCTTCTATATCTGTACGCATCCGCAACAGAAAATACGCCCGAATTACAGTCATGTCCAAGATTTTGTGGCCATTTTTGCCTTTTGGACACCTGCATAGTGGATTTTTATTTATTTATTTATTTTTAATCAATTAAGATGTGACTGAAAGCAGATTTTCACCTTTAAATTAAGCAGTTTAGTCAAAGTAGTGCTGGTAGCTGGTAGAAGCTTTCAAAGCTTCATAATATTTCTGGTGGAAACCCCACTGTCAACTCTGTCACCATCTTAAAACCAGGACTCGCAACAAACACACAACATCCTCTATCTTGTTGTTGTGATTGTTGCCATGCCAACTGCAGGCTGGCTATTACATCGTACAAACTGAGTGCAGATGCAAACCGATGAAAGTGGCCGTTGCAGGTGTGTGTCCTCACTTTCCCTGCAGGTGTCGGGAATCGCTCCTGCGACGCTTTCTCCTGATCGTGCTGACGAGCAGCTTTTCTGGATGGCTCTGTCAGATTTAGAAATGTCACGCCGTCCGGTGAAATATTTCTCCAGCCGTTTAACATCAGGCTGCAAAGCTGTTCGTCACAAGTTTCTATTAAGCCCCTGTTATTTCTGCAGGGCTGGCGTCACTGTAGCGCCGAGGGCGATGGAGGAAATGTGTCTCTCCACGCTCGTCCACCTGACATCCGTCTCCGTCTGAAGAGAACTCTGTGCACGATTGTGTTTTGATAACATGCAAACATCCCTCATCATTAAAGAGGCTCTTAACTGTCTGACGTGTAAACACTGAACTTCCTTGTTTTGGTTAGATGTCATAGCTGCCAGCCAATCACACTTGTATAAAATCGATCAGTCAGTATTTGTGTACGAGCGGCTGCTGGTGATCGCGGGCCATTCAGGAGTGATTTATGTTTACGTGGCTGTAGCGACGTACACCTCCCGTGACTTCCTCCCTCTGCGATAGGCCCTGGTTACTGCGTGTTTCTATTTATTTCTGTTTCATATCCTTTTTTTTCCCCCTTGCTTTGATTTGTGTTCCAGAGTCAGTTTCTCATGAACTCTTATAATCAGTTCTGTTTCTCTACTTTCACTCAAACTGTCTCCAGTTTATTTAGCTTCAGCATCAGATTGAGATTATTTCCCAGAGCTCTTGAGGAATAGAGGAGACGTCTCTGAGCACGATGCTGATACGTTTCTAATGTCCCAGACAGTGTTGACCTTTAAGGTCAGTACTCTGAGTGGACACACAAATCGCATTGCAACCAAAAGTGTCTGACTGGTATATAACAGATGCACGCAGCTCTCAGGTGCATGCGAGACCGAAGCACAAACTTCTTAGACGAGCTGTAACAGAAAGCAGAGTTATTGTCAGATAATTGTTCCTAAAACATGGTGTGGAGGCCCGGTTCACAGGTGTAGCAGTTACAGCTCCCTGTATCATCACAGCGGCACAATCAAAGCAGCCAAGCCCTTAAATTTAAGATTTGACCAAAACAGGTGTTTTTAAAAAGGTCCTGTTGTGATTAAAGTGGAAACTATGCATTTATTTTGTACCAGGCTATAAATATGCCTTTTAATGCTGAAGTTGGATTTTTTGGGAGTCTGTGGGGATTGACTCATTTTTGGTGCCAGTCTCAAGAGGCCTGAGCCTGAAGGCTCACATGTGGTTACGAGGCCGCCTGCAGGACAGGGGGCAGTGTTTCCACAACCTGCAGTGGTCCAGTCAGACTCTGGAAACCAGTAAAACCTGAACATATTAATTATGGTTCTGCTGTAAGAAAAAAGCTAAGGCTCCATCTAATGGGAGATTAAAAAAATAAATAAAAAGTAGAAAGGAAGTCCTCTCCCGGCTCCCCAAAACAAGGTCAGAACACAGATTTATGGGGTCATTGGTGTCACCAAAGAGGACACGGGATTGGTTCAGCTTGTTTGTAATTAGGATTATGAAGCGATTTGCATGAAATTTTCTGAGAAGTCTGTCTTGGTTACATTGTAGCTGATTCAGAGCCAGATATTGACTTTGATCTTTAATTTTGTGTTACAGTTTCATAAATTCACAGAAGAAGGTAACGAAAAATTGTGAGACATCAGTTTGATGCTTTTTGACGCCATTTGCATCTGTCGTGGAGGAAAATTTGAGCCTTGGTGGAGCTTTGCATACAGGTGGATGACAGTGTCGCTGACCGACCATGACCATGAAACTGAGCAGAGACTAGTGCAAGCTCACTCCTATAGACTGAGTGCTGTTTACAACTGAAACAGCAGTTACTGGCTAACACGGGCAGAATGTCAAGTTTCACACAGAAATTCCAAAGTGTGCTTAAAGGCAGAGCATGCAACTGAAACTGCAGGGGCTCACTCATTCATTCTGGTTGTAAGATGCTTGTGGTTGGTGCACTGAGCAGTGGAAATGGAGTCAGAAAACACACATTGTAATTGAGCTTTTTAATGAGTGTGGTCTCCTCTGCTGTAGCTTCTTTGCACCACCTGCTGTTTGTTTGATGAACTGCAGGTTTGTTTGTTTTCTGATTGCTCGTGTTTGTGTTGTCGTGGACCTGAGAGTCCTGATCTGACCTGACTCAAATTTCAGAAACCTGCACCACTCCTCCTGGATTAAAGAGATCTGTACGTGCACATCACCTGCACAGGTGTAGTCTGTGTTTAAGAGCAGTAAAGACGCTTAATGTTCATCTAAGTGGAAATCAGTCATTCCTGCTCAGCTCTCTGCAGAGATTCACTGTGTTTAAATGAAAGTAAAAGGAGTGTTTGAGGATCTTGTGCAATTGATGATATTTGAACGATATTTTGGTTTAGATTCACTTAAACTGTTGTGTCATCAGAAATGAGCCTTTTCTTCTGAACGGCTACATTTCAAACATACCATTGATACTGAGAAAATCAGAGGCTGTGGTAGGGGGTAAAAAAACTGGAAATTGTTGTTTTTAGCCCCCCCATCTCCATCCTCTGTTTAAGGGAAGCTTCATAGGTTAAGTTAGGTTAAGTACTAAGTGCTGTGCTTAAAACTTGAAGTCAGGCTTGTGGTACTTCCACAGTATTGACGTTTTTATGTCACCAATGGTTATGAAGTGACTTCCTGCATCTGTCCTTGTGTTTCAGAGAAACTTTACAACTCCCAGGGTCCAGAACTCCGGCGGTCCCTCTTCTCTCTCAAACAGCTCTTCCAGGTAACACGCTCACCTGTCAGAACTTTACTTCTCGTTTAAGCACAGCTCAGCTTACACTCACGTGAAATGATTTTACCGTGTTTTCCGCACTATAAGGCGCACTTAAAAAAAAAAAAAGAAAAAAAAAGGGCAGGGATAGCTCAGTAGGTAGAGTGGTGGCCCCATGATCGGAAGGTCGGGGGTTCGATTCCCCTGAACAGCTACCCTGAGGTATTCCTGAGCAAGGTACCGTCCCTACGCACTGCTCCCCGGGCGCCCAGTGGCTGCCCACTGCTTCACTGAGTGAATGGGTTAAATGCAGAGAGGGATTTTCCCCACGGGGACCAATAAAGTACTCTTTCTTCTTCTTCTTCCACCTAAGCATGATCTAGCATGTTCTGACTGAGAGATTTCTGAAAAAAATCAAACGTACAGCTCTGCTATCATCAATCATAAATGAAGACAGAAAACTAAACAGCAGTGACGTTTGTAGGGTTACTGAAGTTGGGCTAGCTGGTATATAATGATGTGCTAGTGTGCTAGCAACACAGCTATGTTAGCAGTAACATAAACACAGTGAAGCTGGAGGATGAACGCTAACTTTTTCCACTTGATAAAAGTTAACGTGAGGGTTCCCGATGGTTAGGGACAAATGCAATCGCATGGCAGGATGCTGTAAACGGACCAAACTTCAGTCAGGAGAACAACTGAGATAATCCATCCACAATACGAGGTTAGTCATTAATATACTGCAACAACATGGGAATAGAGCAGCTGCCAGAGAATTCAACATTAATGAATCAATGGTACAGAAGTAAGAGGAAGCAAAAGAAGAGTTGAGTAAAGTTGACTTATCTGACTGTTTTGTTTCGCTTAATGTGCCTTTGTCAAAAATCACTGGTAGCCAGCTGGGTGATTGCATTCGTTAGCAGCGGTCCCCAACCCCCGGGCCTTGGACCCCTACCGGTCCGTGAGTCGTTTGGTACCGGGCCGCGAGAGTTGAGGTTCAGGTGTGAAATGTATAGTTTTCAAGGTTTTTTATCAGTTTTCAGCATTATTTTGTTATCGTTTTTATCGTTAACTCGATTTTCCTGGGTCTTTTCACGTGTGTTATGAATAAATCTTCTTTTTTTCGGTACCGGTACTAGTTTTATTTTGTTGTATTTATCCCCGACACCTTAAAGGCCGGTCCACGAAAATATTGTCGGGCATAAACCGGTCCGTGGCGCAAAAAAGATTGGAGACTAGTCTAGTAGTCTGAGCTAGAGCCTGGGAGACGCCTGCACCTGTTGTTTGCTCTGTGGCTGTAGTTTTAGTTTCTCTGGTTTCTACGTAGATTTTTTTTGTTTATTCTGATTAACATTAGAAAAAAGAATCTCCTCTAAAAGTGGAAATAATTAATGGCAGCCACCTGATGTAGTGTCTTTGGCTAACGATGATGTAAAAACGTCTTAAATGCAAACCAGCTGTTTAAAGCTTCAAACAAAAATTCGAACAACCCTCTCGGATCTGTTTATCCTGCATGATTAAAGGAAATGGGTCACACAGGTCACACTGCTGCTGGTTCCTGTAATATCTGGTAATTATGAGACAGTCTTCAGATTTCTTCAGTGGCCGTTGGCATGAATGTTGTAACTGCAGCTGACTCTGACGCAAAGTCAGACTCACAAGAACGCACACGTTAGGAAAACAAGTGACTGCAGGAGCTGAGTTTGGTGTTCCTGATCAAAGTTCATCAGCGAGTGGCTTCTTACTGCTCGAGGCCACTTCGAGGCATAACAATACACTTCAACACCACGTTCCCACACTTGCCTTCCCCACGCTGCAGCACTGGCATTTCAAAGGCAAAATATGAGGAAATATTTGATTATTATAGGAGTTTGATTATATGAGAAACTGGCTTCACCCTGAGAAGCAGCTGCAGGGACATCCTGTTTCTATATTAATCCATCAGCAAAGATAATATAAACACATACAGCACAAAAGTCACATGAGCCATATCTGTGAAACGACAGACTCTGAAGGTCAGCACATAAACTGGCCTGAAGTTCTTGAGATTAACTGTTGACATATTAATGTGTTGCTTCATGCTTCTGTCTGTGCGAGCTGTTGTTACCTGTGAGGAGCCGCTGCCTTGCAGGCTAACCTCAGGGAACAAAGGTCTGACTTCACTTCAGTATTAAAAACAAGCTGCAGTGTGACTGCCTCTGCAGCAGGAGCTCCGTCTCTGTAACACCGGCTGGAACGGTCTCCTAAACGAGTCTTTTCTGTCTGTAGGATGATAAAGACCTGGTTCCAGAGTTCGTGGCCTCTGACGGGCTGACGTGTTTCATTAAAGTCGGGGCGGAGGCCGACCACAACTACCAGAACTACATCCTGAGAGGTGAGACTCCACCGACTCTGAGGATTAAAGGGAGGCTGTGAAACCTTTGAATGTTTGCGTGTGCGCAGAGATGCTCAGAGCACAGAGGTCAATCACGTAAGGCGAAAAAGCATTTGTAAATCCCAAAAACGCTCCTCTAACTTCATCGTGCCTGAGCTGTCACACGGCTGAACACAGATCTGTGAGAAGCCTGTCTGAAGCAGATATCCACTCAGTGAACGTGCCTGATGTGAAGGTTCGTGTTTAACTGTAGGACTATTTAGTTTTTGGTCTAACGCAGCTCATAATCCTGCAGGTAATCCACCTGCTCGGGCGTTTAGGAGATCTACAGTGACACAGGAACATTAACACCAGCTTCAGTTTAACAGGAAAATTGATTTAGCTTAATTTAATATCAGAAGGTTATAGTAGACAAACTCGAATATTGGTTCAGTTGATGCAAAGTGTAGATGTGTGTTGTGTTTTTTAATGGTGAGATTTGCTGTAAAGCTTACTGAGGTTACTTTGAATTACAGCATTTTGGATCAGCTGGAAGCTTTTAGTATAACTGGAAAAGGAAAAACAAGCCCAGAAGCACAAATGTGTAAATTACTGTGTCAGCTGCAGCACTTTCTGCCCGACAGGCACAATTTCACCCAAATGACAGGAACGCAAACAGTGGCAGCAGTGAAACTTGGCGCTTTCGCTGGGAACGTGCCGACGGCGCCAGCGCAGACCTGGGGCCGCGTGCTCGGATCGGCGCATGCTCTCGTGTTCGGTCAGAATGGAAACGGAGCTTCGGCTTCACAAGTCCAGCAAACCCACAGAAAGCTGAGTCAGCGCTGCAGATTATAGTCTGCAGCTGCTGGAGCCTCCTGTGGAAACGCCAGCGCTCATCCATCTGTCTGTGTGTCCTCAGCTCTCAGTCAGATCATGCTGTTTGTGGACGGCATGAACGGAGTGATCAACCACAACGAGACGGTGCAGTGGCTGTACACGCTGACAGGAAGTTCGGTGAGTCCTCGGACCTCAGAGCAGCGGTGCGACGCCACCTGCTGGTCAAACACTCAACACGTTTTTCTGTTTTAGTCTCGCCTGGTGGTGAAAACTGCCCTGAAGCTGCTCATCGTCTTCGTGGAGTACTCAGAGTCCAACAGTCCTCTGCTCATCAGAGCCGTCAACACCGTGGCTGGACAGAGAGGTGCGCACAAAAACGCAGATGATGGTTTTATGTAAGATCACATATAACCGGTCTGTAACGTTTACTCTCATTAGCTGCTCCATGTGACCTATCACCTCTTCCTCTGACGGATGCCCTGAATGTGACGTGGGTAGCTTCACCAGGTGCTCAGCCGTATGATGATCAGGTGTTTTTGTGTGTGTCTGGCAGCTGTGAAGCCATGGAGTTATATGATGGAGGTCCTGGAGGAGAGGAACGGCGCCGACACGGAGCTGCTCGTGTTTGCCATGACACTCATCAACAAGGTAAGCAAAATTTCCAAATGTAAGCGAGAAGGTCAGAAGTTGGGAAGTACGAACTCACTCCTCCGTGTGCTTCTCAGACTCTGGTGGCGCTCCCGGACCAGGACTCGTTCTACGATGTGACGGACAAGCTGGAGCTGCTGGGGATGGAGGCCGTCATCCGCAAACACATGAACAACAAGGGGACGGAGCCAGACCTGCGGACGCAGTTCACCATATACGAGGTAACGACGAAAAAAAACAGGGATTTAAATACATTTAAATTTGAGGAACACGTGCTGCCTCCAAACAGACGTCTTTTTCAGTGAAAGTCTCTCGGTGAAAGCGCCCTGCTAGCAGGTCCTGAGTGCTACAGCTGCCCTGCTGTAGTTCAACCTTTAAAAACATTTACTGTTATCAATAAAAAATCGTGGCTCCATCTCGGCTTTCTTTGCATTTTGCACAACATCCCAACATTGAGTGCCGATACGGCGAGATTTAGGATGTGTGTGCACAGTGATGCCGCTTCAGTGTGTAACGAGCAGCAATCGCAGGATTTATGGCGCTAATATGAGAAGCATTGAATTTATGAGCCGCACGTCTGTAACCAGCACCATCATCATTCAGTCATGTGACTTCTGTTACCCCTTATATGAGGGATCTTAGAGCATGCTCAGTCTTTGTGTGTGTGTGTGTGTGTGTGTGTGTGTGTGTGTGTGTGTAGTGTGTGTGTAGTGTGTAGTTCAGTGTGTAGTGAGTGTGTAGTTAGTGTGTAGTGAGTGTGTTGTGTGTAGTGTGTGTGTTGTGATGTGTGTGTTGTGTGTGTGTGGTGTGTGTGTGCAGAATACTCTGAAGTACGAAGACGGTGAGGTTGATGACTCCTCCCCCCTCCTACGTAAAGAGAGACGAAAGTTGGCGACCGGCGAGCAGGACGGATCGAGGGGCCGCCGCCACTTGTCCAGTCAGAATCTTCTCAACGCCCGCACCTCGCCCACGCCCTCATCTCCCTCCACCGCCCCAACCACTCCTACCCTCTTCTTGTCATCTTCTGTCAACTCCTCAGTGTCACCGGCCGCCTCCCCCGCTGCATCTCCCGCAGTCTCCCCCGCTGCATCTCCCGCAGTCTCCCCCGCTGCATCTCCCGCAGTCTCCCCCGCTGCGTCTCCCGCAGTCTCCCCGGTCGTCTCCTCCCCGAGCCCCACGGCAGGTCTCGGCAGCAGGGCCTCGTCCCCGCTGGCCTCCGAGCACAGCAGCTCCTCCTCCAGTCCGTCCGGATCCCGGAGAGAATCTCCGCTGCCGTCCCCCAACGGCACCGTGGACACGGAGCAGGGAACAAAAACGCCGCCAAGCCCGTGAGTTCACTCTGCTCGTGACCTTTACCTCCTGATTCTGATCATTAATAATCAATGAGACTAATCAATGAGAGCTAGGTAACCTTTAATCTCGAGGAAGCTCGTATAACATTCGACAGCTCCAGACGTTTCGCTAAACGGAGCCCAAGTAGAAACCTGAACTCGAGGCAGTAGCGGAGGTTCAGATGTGCGAGCGTGCTTTTCTGCAGGTTTGTGGGAGGAAACGACCTGAAGTCCTTCCTGCAGTCGTGACTCTCCTGCAGGTCAAACGCCGTGTCGGCTGTTAATCGGAGGCAGCGGTCAGACTGCGTCTCCCTCGGGTGCTGTGGTCTGCGCCGTCGCCTTCTCCCGCTGCTCAGAGTTTACCAAGTTTAGCCCGACACACGGAGCGAGGAGGGGGGGGGCGTGTTTAGTTTGGAAGCAGCTTTTCTGTGAGTTCAATCAGCAGGAATGTTTGTCCTCAGCGGGTAAACCTTTCTGCTCGTGTTTGGCCTCTGCAGAAACGGGCGTTTAAAGGGACGCCGGCAGGTTGAATGTTAGTCGTGTTTTAGTCATTGCAGAGCCGGAGGGGAAACTGGTTTCAGTCATTCTGGGTTCACAACCAAGACTTGTGCGAGTTCGTGAAACCGTCATGATCTATATTATAATCTAAACACCAATCAGCCATAACAACAGAAACACTGAAAACAGCTGACGTGAGGAGCAGCGATCCTGTCACTGCAGAGGAATGTTTTGCTGGGAAACGTTGCATCCTGTTCTTCATGTGGTCCTTATTTGAACATGTACCACCGCCTGGAGAAACTGCAGGCCGCGAGGGCCGGTGTCCTGCAGGTTTTAGATGTGTCCTTGATCCAACACAGCTGATTCAAATGACTTCCTCAACATGTCTTGAAGTTCTCCAGAGGCCTAATCATGTGATTGAGGTGTGCTGACCCAGGGTGAGATCTAAAACCTGCAGACACCGGCCCTCGAGGCCTGGAGATCCCCACCGCTGGCCTAAACATTCTAAGTTTTCTTGTTTTATTTAAGTGACTGGTTTGATTTAAAAACGGGTGTAAATATTTTTAAAGGTGATTATTGTCATGATGGCAGAATAATCAGGAGGATTTTCCAGTTGTGGTGATTTTCAACAAATCACACCACCGTGGACGCCTTCTCTCACCTCTGGTTATGTTTTTTCTTCCTCTTATCTCGGGCTCTTTTTCTGTTTG